AAGTACCGTAGATGAAATAGACCTAACGATTGACATAGGCCTAACGTTTAATATGTTAGAGTGAAACTAACAGTATAAAAAAGATAAGGATAATTTTATTCCGCCAAAGCTTGGATCTAAAGTAATTGAATCAGCCTGGGTACACTTTGACAAAAGGAATACAGGATCTTCAGAAGAAATACGACCAAACGAATTACGGTAACTTGTGCAACAACTGTAAGTGAATCGCACATAGAATACTAATACGATAGTAATATAGAGAAGATAGTTCGACTTGTCAACTGAAATTCTAAAGTAATTGAACAGGCCTAAGTGGACTTTTGAAAACAAGAAGAGAACTATATAAGATAGTGTTTATGATATGCCTGTAATCTCTATAGTGTGAAGACTTTGTTGTACATACGTTTAACTTGTTCCGAATATATATATATTATTTGAAAACAAGTAAAGTGTGTGCTGTTTATTCATCGTTGAATTTATCAATAATAAGTCACAGTCACCTACTGTAGAAGAATCCTAAGCCCAACAACAACATAGTATATATTTATACTATTAAGAAATATGAGTAAAAGCTACTTATTTCGACAATTGGCAAAATGAAGAACTTATATATATATATCTGATAATAAGCTTGTATCTCAGTACCATTACTGTAAGTATCACCAGATATTTTGGTGCAGCCACACTGATTACTAGTATATATTCAAGGCTACACAGATCCTAATACCATGACAACACTTTCTTGGCACCAAGCAGTCTGACTTCTACAATATAATACTCTGAACACCACGGATGGAGCTACTGCTGTATTCTGTCATACCTCAGGGCAGACAGTGGGTAATCTGCTGGCCAACTGTCAGGTAAGAGCTAGATGGTCTTCAACACGCTGAGACTGAACTAGTCTGGCTAGTTTAAATTACTGAAGGCCTAGATGGTTCTGGTAATCAACTTGGGTAGGCTGTCACTTGTATTCAGGAATGCAGTACCAGTTGAGATCGCTCTGAATTGATCATGAGATATATGCCTATGAAAATACACAAACATGAGACTAAGATTGAGATGTGCACTGGTGCCGTTAGATTTATGTAAGTGAAGAAGCTTGGTTCTATATGAATATTGACTTTGTTATTGCAGAAGGAAAATGGTCTCTGACTTAGAATTGAGTACTTTTATCTTGGGGTTACAAACGCTATTATTTAGTATGGGATTTAACACAAATGAGCTGCAGTTTTGCAATGAAACCACTTAGTGTTTATCTGACAGAGCACAGAATAAATGGATTGTACAAGTACATACCAGGATGAAGTTTCTTAAGTATTCGGTTACTTTTTCTATTTGGTATATTTTTACTCATACTGTCATTATCGAATCAATCCATGAATTACCCTATTTTCTGTATACGTTCCAAGCTGTATTTATTTACACAGTTAATGCTCTGAGTGTCAGCTTATGTCAGTAAGAGTTTATAATAATGGAACATAGGACTATTCAGTTTCCAGCTAGAATGGTTGTTGGCAATGTGAGTAAGGTAAAAGTGACTGAAGGTAAATGCATAGATAGTGTTGTTTCAACTTCGTTGCATCCATAAATAAATTCAGTGTATGTGAAACTACTGTACGAACATTATACAGACAATTTGGACTTAAAATTGTGATGATAGATTTGTAAATTGCTAATTGAGTCTCGAAACCCGGTTTTTAGCGTTGTAAGTCTGCAGATATACCGCTGTGCCACTCGGGGGCGTATGGTAGTTAAATTATGTTTACTGACAAATATACATTTATACTTGCTGCGTTTATTTATGAATGTATATATATTGCCTTTATATTATGTTCTATGGTTAATGCATACACGGTGCTTGTGTCGTATTTACTGATTATCGTGTATATATGTATATATATATATATATATATATATTAGTATTCATATGGAAGAATGTATATAATGTTTATATTATACTCATTTATGAAAGTTTATAAGTTTATGGGTATAATTCTTTTATTAAACAATGTATAAGGTATTAATAATGTGTTTGTTAAATAAAGTGTAATAGTTTTGTAATGGTTTAATGTATATATTGCTAGTTACTCACCAAAATCGTATACTATTTTATCTATTTTAAAAACATCAATATTTTAATTATAGAAAAATATCTTAAATTAATCTTGTTCAAGTTTATAAGTTCCTTGGTTATGTTTCACGTTAGTAACCATCGTAATTATCTTAAATGCATAATGAGTACAAATAGTTTCATTCGTGACATAAATTGGATATTATACAGCGCCTACAAACACCACTGGTAATATAAACTGATGATTTTTCAGTTTCTAAAACGTGATAAAATCTTACGTGTGTAAAAAGTGTTCATTTGTGATACAAACTGAATTCACTCGTAATATAAACAGAGTTCTAACTAGTAAGTTCAACGTGTTATGTCTCTCTCGTTCTTTCTAGCCATAAGAGTAATAATGTATAATACTTCGAATAGGCTACCGTATTCGTACCTAGTAGGCGGAGTGTTTGCTATCAAAACTGATCATATTATAGAAGTCAACGGTTATTCAAACCTCTACTGGGGTTGGGGTGGTGAAGACGACGACATCGCCTATAGGTAAGTTTTTCAAGGATTTTTTGGAACTAAGAAGGATAATCCATGTTGCCACATCCCGTAACTGATTATAAATATATGCGAAGAAGAACGAACTTAGAAAAACAAACATTATTAGGGATAGTCAATTTTCTAAATTTCTATTTACGCTAATCGCGGCTATAGTTGTCATGTGTAACTTTTTAAATTTATTTATATTTTTAATTTCCTTGTAAACTACATACACTCTTCTTATTGTGAACTACATACAATCTTCTTATTGTAAACTACATACACTCTCCTTATTTTTAACTACATACACTCTCCTTATTGTAAACTACATACACTCTTCTTATTGTGAACTACATACAATCTTCTTATTGTAAAATACATACACTCTCCTTATTTTGAACTACATACACTCTCCTTATTGTAAACTACATACACTCTTCTTATTGTGAACTACATACACTCCTCTTATTGTGAACTACATACACTCTCCTTATTTTGAACTACATACACTCTTTTTATGGTAATCTACATACATTCTTCTTATTGTGAACTACATACAATCTTCTTATTGTAAAATACATATACTTTTCTTATTATGAACTACATACAATCTTGTTATTGTGAACTAAATACAATCTTCTTATTGTGAACAACATACACTATCCTTATTTTGAACTACATACACTCTCCTTATTGTAAACTACATACACTCTTCTTATTGTGAACTACATACAATCTTCTTATTGTAAAATACATACACTTTTCTTATTATGAACTACATACAATCTTCTTATTGTAAACTACATAGAATCTCCTTATTGTGAACTACATACAATCTTCTTATTGTGAACTACATAAATTATTGTTATTGTAAACTACATACACTCTTCTTATTGTGAACTACATAAATTATTGTTATTATGAACTACATTCAATCTTCTTATTGTAAACTACATACAATCATCTTATTGTGAACTACATACACTCTTCTTATTGTGAACTACATAAATTATTGTTATTGTAAACTACATACACGCTTCTTATTGTGAACATCATACACTCTTCTTATTGTGAACTACATAAATTATTGTTATTGTAAACTACATACACGCTTCTTATTGTGAACATCATACACTCTTCTTATTGTGAACTACATAAATTATTGTTATTGTAAACTACATACAATCTTCTTATTGTGAACTACATACAATCTTTTTATTGTGAACTACATACACTCTTTATTGTGAACTAGTTGCACTTCCATTGTCACGTTTTACTGGCTTCTTTTAACATATGGACCCTTACCTTAGATATATTTTAAAATTAAGTCAGATTTCTAAAAATATATGCGCAGTAGTTTAATTGTATTCTTCAAAATCTGTTGTATCTACTGTCTTCTTATTCTAAACTACATACACTCTTCTTATTGTAAACTACATACACTCTTATTATTGTGAACTAAATACAATCTTCTTATTTTAAACTACATACAATCTTCTTATTGTGAACTACATACACTCTTCTTATTGTGAACAACATACACTCTCCTTATTGTATTTAGATCAC